ACAGAGGTATAGATGAAGGGCTTGGACTTTTATGTAAACACTTCAGGGTAGAATAAAATGAAATGAGTTTGGAGCAAAGAAAGAAAACCATTCAGGACATAATCTAGCAAGACAGAAAAATGAAATAAGAAGCCTCATCAGTTCTCATTAAAGGAAATCAATATTTGAAGAGCTGTCTTGCTCAGTAACACAACAAGGGTAGAAATACTTCAGAAATGTGAGGTTCGTGGGAAGGTGATCATGATTGAAAAGTCTTTCCAAAGATGACCCCATTGTGGAAATGTTACAGGGGGACTCAGTCACCTGTTGTGAAAGTCAGCTAGATGAATTTTAAGGTCCCTTCTATTCCTGATAAGACTTGCACATTTTAAATGTGTATCTGGATCCTGGGAGCTTTCAGGTGCTCAGGGCCACCTCCAGGGAGCAAGGGGCAGCTACCATTTCCCCACCTGTCAGAATTCACCAGGAACTGTATTCATAGGCCATTGATGAGGCTTGATTGTGAGGCACTGGAAGGAGGGAGGAAAGAATCTCATGTGTGGATGAGGCCAGTGGCTCCGGATAGTAGACTCAGGTGGGGAGGAAAAATCTCACTGCCATTGAGTGGATTCTGACTCAAACCCCCATTGGGTTTCTAAGGCTGTAAATCTTTACAAAAGCAGACTGCCTCATCTTTCTTCCATGGAGCTGGTGGTGGGTTTGAACCACCCACCTTCTGGTTGCAGCCAAATGCTTTACCCACTATACCACCAGAGCTCCTTCAGGTGGGGTGGAGGAAGCCCGCATTTGTATGCTCTGAGATTTCAGGCCCCTGCCCTTGAGATTCCAACCCAAGGCAGAAATGGACGTGAAGAGGGCCATTGCCAAGTGGTCTAGAGACCAAACCCAAACAACCCAACTCCTTGCCACTGAGTTGATTCCAACTCATGGTAACCCTATATGTTACAGAGTGGAACTGCTCCACAGGTTTGTCTTGGCTAGAATCTTTCTGGAAGCAGATCACCAGGGCTTTCTTCCACAGTGACACTGGGTGTATTTAAAATAGCAACTTTTAGGTTAGCAGTGGAGCAAAACCATTTGCACCATGCAGAGACCTTGGTCTAGAGACAATTCATAATAATGACAACTGTGTATGTGCTGAGATAGGTCTATTTCTGGTACATAGATTAGAAACTAGCTTCTAATTCAAGGCAGCCCCCTCCCCAATCTCATATACTCCAGATTATCATCTGTGTGTCTTTATAGCCAGCAGGGCTTATTCCTGTATGTCCTTGAGATTGCTGGGTGCTTCAGTGACCAGGGCCTTGGCAGCAGCTTTATGTCTGGGCCCTGACCTGTGTCTTCCAGACTTCTGCTACTGCTGTTGTTGTTGTTATGTGCTGTCTAGTTGGACCTGACTCCTAGTGAGCCCTCCTTGGGTTTCTGAAGCAGTATCACTACGGAAGTAGATTGCCCAACCTTCCTTCTGAGGAGTGGTTGGTGGGTTTGAACAGCCAGCCTTCTGGTTAGCAGTCAAGTGCCTTAGGCACTACGCCACCAGAGCTCCCTGCAGCTGTGGCATTTTCTCTTTATATCTCATGGGGGCCAGTCTGGAAAATGGAGCCTCTTTGCTGTCACTGCTTTGTAGTTCCTTTCTCTCAAGGTTTCAGAATTATAGTATCTTGTCTAAACTTACCTAGCCAGGCTGGATCTTTGGAGAAGAACAATGCCTCTGTGCCTCCATGGGAAGGTTCAGCAAACCTTTCTATACAAGCAAACCCATTCGTTGTTGTTGGGTCGATTCTGACTCATGGCAACCTCTTGTTTTCTTGGCTGTAATCTTTATGGGAGCAGATTGCCAGGTTTTTCTTCTGTGACACTGCTGGCTGGGTTCAAACAGTGCCATACACTTCTCTACGACAGTCCTTGGTGTTATCTACACAATTAAACTTCTAGGATCCAAGTAAGGAGGCTTGGTGGTGCTATGGTGAAGTGCCTGGGTGCTAACCAAGAGAGTGAGGGTTTGAACACACCCAGGGGCTCTGCAGGAGAAAGACTTGGCCACCTGCTCCCATAAAGATCCCAGCCAAGAAAACCCTATGGTCCAGTTGTCTTCTGTCCCGTGGGGTCACTGTGAGTCAAAAAACAACTCAGCGGTACCTAATAACAACAGGATCCAAGCCTGCCACAGGTTCTGCTCCCCTCCCCATCTTAGATGCATTTTGTTGCTGTGAATGGATCTGTTATTGGCACAGAACAAACATTTTTGAGTTACTTGATTCCTCTCTCCCTCGCTCAAGCCACCACCACCAGCCCCGTCTTGATGCCACATCTGCATGTGATATTTCCCTGGGAAATTTTTGTTTTTATTGCCCTCAGATCTGCACTCTTGGGATTTGGCAGTAGATCCAAGGGGTCCTTATATCTATCTGTTAAAGGCTGACTGCTCTAGGAGCACCCCCACCCTTGCACGGCAGCAGTTAATAATACTAAGGCCGTCACTGCCAGCTGCCAGCTTCCCCAGACGTCCCGCAGTGCCCCGCATTGTGCTTAAACACAGTAGCTTGCAATGCAGGTTACAAAGGGCCCCGGCACCCAAGGCGCAGAGGTGGGAATGCAGCAGTGGGAATGAGTAGTCTTTTATTGAAAAGATCCTGGGTGCCGAGGTTAGTCTTGAATGCCTACTCACCCTGAGCCCAGTCCTGGGCAAGATAAATGTCAGATGATTCCTTGTTTTAGAATGCTTCCGGTAGTTTCCCACTGCTTACATTTCAAGTAGGAAGACTCAGTGGCCAGTGACCAAGGAGTGGAAGCGAGGAAGTTGAGACCCACTTGTATTTTTGTAACACACAGCATATTGTGTCCTCTGCATCAGGCTCCGGACTCTGCTGAACCAGACCTCATATCTGTCAGAGTAGGGTTTTCAGCAGCTGATTTTTTGGAAGTTGGACCTTCTTATGAGGTGATTTGAACCACCAACCTTTTGGATAGCAGTCTGGTGCATTAATTATTTGCACTACCCTGGGACATCGTCTGTATTAAGCACAGTTTAAAAAAAAAAAAAAAACAGTTGCCATTGAGTCGAGTGTGGCTCCTGGTGACCGCATGTGTGCCTGAGTAGAGCTGTCCTCCCAAGGGTTCTCAATGGCTGAGTTTCCAGAAAGGGGTTCCCAGGCCTTTCTTCCAGGCACCTCTGGGTAGACTCAAACTTCCAGTCTTCTGGTTAGTAACTGAATGCGTCGACCATTTGCACTACTCAGGGACTCTGTGGGCTCTGCTAAATCCCCTAGTACTACTGTGGCTGACCTCCTAGAAGATGCAGTTTTGAATTCTTCTGAGTTACAGTCTTTTGTCCAGTGGTTCAGCGTTGTCAGTTTCTGAGCTGGGTTCTGGATGAGGAGGGGTGCTGGGATGGTCCCAGGTATGGCTAAAGAAGTTCTTTGCCAGGAAATCACAGTGAAAGGGCTAAGGCAGCCTGGGTGAGTTCTTGAGTCCCTGCTCACCAAGGAGCCACATTTCTGATGACTTTGTGCACAGTACAGGGAAATGGTCCCAGTACTGTGCAGGAATGCCAGCACTTTATCCCCATGGGCTTTGACATCCCTGGGATAGAATGTGGCCCACTCTGTCCAGAGCCACCCATCCAGCAGGTAGCCTCTACCTTAGGATCAGAGTTCACGTTGATGTCTCCCACTTTAAAGTGCTGCTTCTTAGACCTCTTGGACACTGAATCCTCCCTGATAGGACTCGTTCTACCTGCCTGGCTCTTCCTGACAAGCCCCTTCCTGTGCCCACACACATCTTTACTACCTTTGCAATCAACCAGGACCCATGATTCTCTCTTGTTCCAATTCCATCCATGTAGCCATTTGGAGCTACATGAGTCCAGGGCAGAATATCTTTTGCGACCCTACCTGCACCCCCACCCCACACAGAAATCCAGCGACTTGCAGATACTTATTTCTGAGCACTTAAAAGATTCATAAATACCTGGAAGAACTCTTGGCATTCTCTGAGACAATATTTTGTGCCCCCGGAGAACTCTATCAGAGACATTGAAAACCAAGATCTGCTTTCTTCTTTCTTACCTTCACTCTTTATAAAAGGTTTCACTGACCACACAATCTTCCTAACAAAAAAAAAAAACTCTGATGAAATCAGGATAAATAATTCCACACACCATCAAGTGGAGAGAAAGGCTTTGCATTGGTTTCCATGGAAATCTGAAGATGAAGTAAAGTAGTAATTTCAAGGCAGAGCAGCTGAATTGAAGATAATGGTAAAAGAGTTTGATCAAGGAAATAGAATAAAGTAATCAAGAAGGCTCCAATCAATTATTTCCTTTTTTTTTTTTTTTGTTTACCTTCAAGTGATTAATTTGTCTGTGTTTATTAACCTGATGAGATTAAGCAGACCTTCCTTGTGATTTATTTTGTAATTGTTTCCAAGGTTTGACATAAGCCGTGGAGTTATTGAAGGTGGAGATTTAAATTCAATTACTCTTGAAGCAGGTGGTGCTTCTCCTGAAAGAATATGTGAATTCCTGGTCTTCCCATGTTAACATTATGAGTGAAAATTATTAATTCATCTGATAGTATCAGCCAAAGACTTTTAGAAGTCATTTGGCATGCTTCGCTTAAAGTCAGCAGCTTCAGAACAGAGCTTGTAATACAGAGGATCCATTGGCTGGAAAGAAAAGATTTCATGTTAAAGCGTGGTTACTTTTTTATAGGATTTCTTTTTGCTAGAGCCTCTGTTAAGGCCTGGGCTGTGGTACTATCATGAATGGAATCCACCAGCTCAAGATTTGAATGCCAAAAAGATAGCTTTCTTTGAACTTGACCAATGGTTCCCACTCCCTTCACTTTTGATGAACACCACTGGGTAAGATCATGCTTCACTTTGTCTGGCAAAAGAGAAAGAGAGAGAGACGTTGAAATTCTTTCAGTGATGTGACTAACTGCTTTTTGTTTCGGTGGTCATTGCTATATATGTGTTTCTATTTTTTTCTGTGGGTATAGTAAGGATAGACGAGGTTCTCCAAACACTAATCCAGACGTCAACTCTCCATCATCCACAAAGGCTCGGAACACATCTAAGAGTGGGAAGTAAGTGAATAAGTGCCCCTGTGCGTCTGACATAGCTATCGCAAAGCCATGCCCTGTCCTCATTATGTCATTCATTCACATTCGTTCACCAAAGATTTGCCAGCTCCTTCTATGTGGCTCACGCTAGACTGGTCACTGGGCAATGGAAATGAGTAAGGCATATGTCAGTCAGGTTGGATGCATGTGGGACTAAAGAAGGGTGGGGGAGAGGAGTTTGGAAAGATGGTTTAGGGCTGCCTGTGAAGGGTAAGGACTTATGACCATCAATGTAAGATTCGGACTAAAAGTTTCAACAGGTGGAGAAAGGAGAAGCAGCAGCACTGCTGATTATTCATGTTTTGATTGGCAAAACTCCATGAACATTCATCTTTGAGCCATACATTGAGGTGTACTAGTTGAATTAGAAGAACCTGGAAAGCCATTCCATGAACTTCCTAGTTTAAATATATTTAAAGTTTAACCATATTGCTGATTTACACAATATGTGTATTCCTTTCCTAGTAACTAGCATGCATCATGCCCTATGTGAAATACTCTTAAGTGGTATTGCCAAACCTTGTATCAACTGAGTGTTTGTGACATTAGATTTATCTCTTTGGGCTTATTCCAGACGACAACAGTGACTAATCTCTCCCTGTGGAGTCAGCAGAGCATGACAATCTGAGGCAGTCTGCTCCTATGTAGATGACATACCTCCAAGTAGCCACTTCCCCTTCGTAATGCCAGCAGCCTTTGGTAAATGGACTCAGGTTCTCTGTAAGCTCTCCAGGGGGTGTGGGGCATGGTGACAGGCAGAGAAACACAGCCCAGAAAGAGCACCTAGCCTGAATTTGGTAGAAGATGACAAATGCCTTCATCATGCTAACAGCTCTCATCTAGCAGTAAGACAAGAGCACAGCTTTGCAATGAAAGGTGAATTTGTAATGGTCATATATTTTATGTATTCAGCATTGGACCGTAAATGCTGCACTTTAAATATGATCTTATATTCAATTCCCAAAGTGAAAGATCTATTGGCTGCTTTTTTTTTTTTCTCCCTTCCCCTCCTCCTGACTACCATTTCAGGTTTGCATATAAAGTTGAATGTGGGCTATCTTGGAGAATATAAAAAGCGATGGTGAAGGCATAAGACTGAATCTCTGAGCAGTTAGAACTCGTTTCAGTTATTGATCGCCGAGTACCGCAATCACAATGCTGTATAAATTATGAAGGAAGGGAATTGATGCACACATCCCCAAGCAGCTGAATCTTCCCAAATTAGTCCCAATTCATCGTCAGTGCACACTGTCAGTTAACAGAGATGGCATTGAGAATCACATTTAACTCACTGTTTGCAGAAATAGCAGGCCCTGTCTGGGTACCTTGTACACGCCTGTCATACTGACAACTGCAGGGACCATGTCCATTTATTCAACCCTGGCAGATCACTGTAGCATTTGTGATCTCCTGTTGTGTTGTGAAAGGGATGCTGTTAGGTCTCTTTGGGCTTTGCAGGAGCCCAGGTCGTGAGCCACAGAAAGGAACAGTTGGTAGAATCTGAGTTAAGGTAGCATAGAGAATGCATACTTCACACTATACCCAGGTTGTTCATGTAGGGGGCCCAAAGAAATGCATTCTTAAGTAGATGAGCCTGATCATAGATCACACTTCCCGTATTTGGATGCATCTCTGGCTTCTGCCATGGTGATGGCCTCCTCCCCTCATCCTCATGCACGGCCTGAGCTGGGTCTCTTATTGGCTATGGATACTGATTCTCAAATGGAGCTAGTTTTTTTTTTTTTTAATTATTTTCTGGGGTTGATTATTAGTGAAAAAAATGTTCTTCTCTACTAGCCTCTTCATGGATATGTGTGCCTGGTCCCCTACCAGTGGGCCTTTCCTCTTACTTAGGCTCCCTTAGTTTTGAGGAAGGAGCTCTGGTAGCGTAGTGCCTAAGGCACTGGACTGCTAACCAGAAGGCTGGCGGTTCAAACCCACCAGCCACTCCTTGGAAGGAAGATGGGGCAATCTATTTCCACAGTGATACTGCCTCAGAAACCCAAGGAGGGGTTGCTATGAGTCGGGGCCGACTCGACGGCACATAACAACAACAACAGTTTTCAGGAGGGTTTTTTCCCCTCCTCTCTGCACATTTTCTCCTTCACAGGAGGTCTTGTCAGCAAGAACAGTACTGACCTCCCATCAGTGTGTCGAGCCTGTTGGGGGCATTTCCACACTTTTTAGAAGAGTGCCTATCACTGTTGAGGCACTTGTGTTATCTTTCAGGGAGAGTTGTTATTTACAGCTCCTGTGGTATCCATCAAGGAGCTCTGGTGGTGTGACGCCTAAGGCATTTGACTACTAACCAGAAGGTTGGCAGTTCAAACCCACCAGCCACTCTGTGGAAGGAAGACTGGGCAATCTACTTCCGTAAAGATTTAACGCCTTGGAAACTCAAAGAGGGATTTCCATGAGTTGAAATTGACTCAATGGCAGTGAATTTGGTTTTTTGTGGTGTCATCTGCTGCCTCGGCTTGGGTGGCAGTGGTGGCTCTATCTCTGCCCCCCGAGGCTTTGCCCTATGGCACACTGTCCATAGAACCAGCATAGAGGGTGCTGCTCTGCCACTGCCTTTGATGCTATCTGATCTACCGCCAGTGGCATGGGGAACCATGTCAGAGAGTTTCTCTGTGTTATTTTGAGGCCAGAGATACAGGCTGAGAGTTACAAGGAGTGTTCTTTTTTTCTCTGAAAAGTAATTGGGTCTTCTTGTTCCTAAAGAAACAGAAAATGCAGAAGTCAAGCCACATCAAGTATACATCAAGACTAAAGAGAATAAGAGCTACCTGTGTTGAGGGAGTGCTGTGGGCCATCCCCTGCACTGAGCATGTGGTGTGCTTTGCCTCATTAGTCCCCGCCCACCTCACACTCAGGAAATAGGTACTATTATTATTGCCATTTGACGGTGAGGAAACTGAAAGTCTGAAAGGATCTAGCGTACCTGCATGGCAGGGGTCTGAACAATTCTGATAAAAACCTTCCTTAGCACCACCATGCCCACCACCGGTAATTGAGCATCTACTTTGTACTATTGTGCTAGACCTTGGGCCTTATAGACAAACATGAGATGCAGCAGCTCCCCTCAAGGAATTCACAGTCTTTGGGGAGATAGAGGTCAGAGGTGGGAAATACAAGTCCATCACTAAGGTGGGCAGTATTCTCTCTCTGTTGGTCAGAACCACTTGGAGTTTGGGGTAAGGTCAGCACTGAACCAGAATGACCACTTCCACCTTTCCCCACTTGCAATCCATTTGGGGTCTGGCTGAGATGCAGGGTAGCATCCCGAGTAGATTACAAGACCTACAGATTGTGAGTTGTGTCATTTCTGCTCCCTCTGTGTCATTGCCTGGATCTGAAGCTGGGTAGCCCTCTGTTTCAGGGAGGAACAGATGGAATGAGATGTGTCTGAGCGGTAGAGCCAGACCACCCTGGCAGTGACTTTCAGGGAGGAGCGAGCAGTTTCTTCTTTGCCAAGATAGAAAGGAAAAAAATAACCCATGCAGAGCTGTCTCAGAGCGATCAGGAAGCAGAGGTTTTGCAGAGATTGACCCATGACCAGCTTGTTGTTGTTGTTGTTATGTGCCGTCGAGTCAAACCCGACTCATAGCGACCCCTCCTTGGGTTTCCGAGGCAGTATCACTGCGGAAGTAGGATTG